GTGGACTTCTGGTGACCCTCATTTTCAGCCTTCCCAGCGCTGGGATGATGGGCATACGCCACCATGCCGGGATTCAGTGGCCAGCTCAGTGCACCCAAGTGTTGTGCCTCCACAGCCCCCTGTAAGCAGGCGCTTAGTCCACTGAGCTATGTCACCAGCGCTATCGTGGCATATTCTGTGAAGGTGGGGTTGAATTTCTAGAAGCTGAGCATGTGTTCTGAGAAACAGAAGGTTCACATGGTTTGTGAACATCATGCGTTACTAGGTGTGGTGATGCACACCTGTAACCCCACCACTTGGGATCTGAGGAAGGAGGGTCATCGTGAGTTCACCGCCATCCTGAGCCACATAGCGAAGACCTTATCTCAAATACATGAATACATACACACGTGCTCCAAGTGAGCACCCAAAAACCAGGAATACCCGCATCTATATCTTGTACCAAAATCTGGCTCAGTCATAAACTTAAGAGAAAGCATTTGAAGAAATGGTTTGATCTTATGATTTATACCTGAGATTTTTTCACCAGTTTCTCAGATTCTGACTTGGCTTATAAAACCACATTTTAGGGGCTGAGGGATAGCTCAGTGAATGTTAGAACACTCACGTAACATGCATGGGGTCCTTGGTTTGACCCCAGCACCACAAAGCAAAGCAATTACACACTGCACTTTTAAAACATGGTAGGCTAGAAGAATTCAAAATGTAATTCCTTGTTATTGTGACAGCAGCATTGTAGTCATACTGGCTAGGGAAGAAAATGGTATGTCAAGTCTGTTTTCAAATGTAAAAGCACTATAAGTTATGGTTACAAATTACGAACACTTTTTAACAAACAGGAAAATAACAAGGTTCATATAATTTTTAAGTAAGAGTCGAAATTCAGTGAAACTAATTACATTGCTGTCATAAAAGCTGCCTCAACATGAGCCTAACTTAGCAGGGAATGTAGGTTTTTTGTTGTTGTTTTTGTTTTGGGGGGGTGGCAGAACTGGGGTTTGAACTCAGACCCTTGCGCTTGCTAGGGAAGCGCTTATTCTACTGTGCCATCTCCCCGCCCCAGTGAATGTGTTTGGTTTTTGTTTTTTTTTTTTTGCATAATGAATAACTTTATTTCTCATTAACTGATTTCATAATTTTTTTTTTATGAATGTGTTTTGAATGATGAGAAAATGCAAAGGGTGAAGAGAAATCCTAATCTATTGAATGAAAACCAGCCTTGGAATTGAAGCCACATAAGTTATATTCAAGAAAGTTTTCCCAAACACTGTAACATAGCGCCTATTTGAAAAGGTTCTCCTGCTGCCCTTCCCTTTCCCCTTCCCTTCCTTTTCCCTTCCCTTCCCCCTCCCCTCCTTCTCCCCCTCTCCTCCCAACTCACTTTTTGTTGTTTTTTAATCATACTTGTAGAAAATTAAAGCAACTTTTTTTTTTTTTTTTTTCCCCAGTGGAACTGGGGATTGAACTCAGGCCCTTACACTTGCCAGGGAAGTGCTTATTCTACTGAGCCATCTCCCTGGCCCATTAAACAGCTTTGTCAAAACCTTTTTTTAGACTTTTGGTAGTGATGATCTTTTGCGAATGTGCATGGCTATAACCCCAGCATTTTAGAAGGCTGAAGCAGGGAGATCACTACTATTTTGAGGCCAGGCTAGGCTACAGAGTGAGTTCATGGCCAGCCTGGACTTCTTAGAAAGACCTAGTCTCACAAAACCAGAAATAGATTAAATAAGTAACATGAAGTAAAATCTACTGGGTCACAGCGTGCAGTCATTGAGCATGAAGAAGGGCATTCAGAACCTCTGTGCCAGGACTTCGCGCCTGGCCCTCCAGCCAGTGACCGTGGGTGTCTGAGCGCTCCCCGCCTGTCTCGCCCTCCCGTCTAGATACTCACCCCAGGCGCTCTACGAGCCCTGCACTCAGGATGTCGTGATGTTCCTCGTCGTGATGCTGTGCAGCCAGAGCTACATCCGGAACCCATACCTGGTGGCCAAGCTTGTAGAGGTCATGTTCATGACCAACCCCGCTGTCCAGCCCCGCACCCAGAAGTTTTTCGAGATGATCGAAAACCACCCTCTGTCCACCAAGTTGCTGGTACCATCCCTGATGAAGTTCTACACAGGTGGGTTCCTGGGCATGCCATTGGGCTCGTCTCTCATTTAGGCAGGTGAAGGCAGTGGGCAGCAACGCTGACCTGCTGCCTCATAGCCTGGTGTCCCTTCACGAGTGTGCTCTAGGTCATTTTCCCCCTGAGCCTCTAAAGTATTCTGTAACCTATTCTACAGGCTGATCTCTGATGTAGCACGCTCATTTTGCTATCAGTACCCCAGGAGGGTGTTTTATCTTAGTCAGTTACTTTATTTGTTTTCGCTATGAACTTATAACATTACTTTTGTAACTGTCCAATAATTCCAGATTTCCACAATAGGGGATAGTTTGTTTAAAAAAAATATGCTGGGGCTGGTGAGATGGCTCAGTGGTCCAAAGCACCTACTTAGAACAAGCTTAGCAAAGCACAGGGACCGCGGTTCAATCCCCCAGCACCACATGCCAGCCAGCCCTGCCCCCTGGTGGGCTGAGCTGGCCACACACACACACACACACACACATAAATAAATTAAAAAAAATTAAAAAAAAATGCTTATCCTTCTCCAGGTGTGTTGGCTCAAGACTAATATTAGCTTTTGGGAGGCTGAGGCAGGAGGGATGCTGCAAGTTCGATGTCAGCCTGGACTACATAGTGACACCCTGCTTATTCTTGGACCCTACCAGAGCCAGTGCATTGCGGGTGTCTTTGTTCATTCATTAATTCTATGAGTTTATTTTTTGCCCCATGTTGCAGATGACGGAGAACATGTGAGGGACTCTGTAAACACAGTGCCGTCTTTTGGCTCAGTCACTTTCTAAATTTTCATTCGGCTCATGCAGTATTACACAGGAGCCCTCTCCAGCTGTCTTTCTGGCAGGGGGCAAGATTGCACAGGTGAATAGTACCCTACCTGATCATGTATTTCTCAGGAAAGCATGGCCGGGCTGTCTTGCTTTGCGCCAGCCTAGCATTTCCAGGGCACTTTGTGTGTGTCTGGCATTCACTAGGATCTCCTTGGTCTCTCGGCCTGCAAGAAACACTGGCGCCGACAGATCAGCTCCTCACTGTTCCGGCCACAACTGGTGTGATGACAGTTTCCTGTCCCTAACATAGGCTCATGCTTGTTAGGGCGCATGCTGCCATCTCTCACCACTCCCAGGTTTCTGTGACTGTTTGCTTTTCTGTTATTTTTTGGCCTCTGATAAGTTGCTGTCCTTCCTCAGCTTGTCCTCTTACATTGCATGCCCTCAAGTGTTCTGTTGACATCCTCTGCAGCAGTACGTCGGAGCCCCTTCCTGGGTGATGGTCCACCCCTTTCATGTCTCAGCCACATGAGGGCGAACAAGGTCCTCCAGGTACAAGTGGTGCTGATCTATTTCCGGGCAGAACCAGAATGGTGCCTTGTACATAGCAGGCTTGGGAGCTCTTGAAGCAGTGCCTTTAAAATGAGGAGATCCCACTTTGCGCACATTGAAGCCGGAAATACCCAGCACTGACAGATTTGCAGCCGGATAAACCTTGAGAAAAACTACTTAGTCTTTCCTATAGTAAGTTTGCAGAATTAGTGCTATGAAACTCACAAAATGTAAATTGGGATACCAAGCGACTTAAAAATATATATCCTCACCAATTGCAATGGCACATGCTTATAATCACACCTACTTGGGGAGCTGAGGCAAGTTCAAGGCCAGTCTGGACATCTTAACAACACCTTGTCTCAACTATTTTTTTTCCTTTTTGTCTTTTGAGACAGGGTCTTACTATGCAGTTCAGGCTGGCCTTGAACTCACTTGGTAGCTCAGGCTGGTCTTGAATTTGCAACAGTCCTCCTGTCTCAGCTTCCCAAGTGCTGTGATTAGAGGTGTGTGCCACCATGCCCAGCCTCAAAATTATTTAAGGAGAAAAAAGCCTGTTGTGCACACCTGTGACCCCAGCACTCTGGGAGACTGAGGCAGGAAGATTGCAAGTTTGAGTCCAGCCTGGACACCTTGGTGACTTAGTGAGACCCCTGCCTCAAAGTAAAAAAAATGAGAAAGGGCTGGCGGTGTAGCAGTGTAGCACACTGGCTCACGTGCACCAGGCCCTGTTCAGTCCCCAGTCCTGGAAGAGAACTGTCTTGCTAGGTGCTTTATATAGGTTAGAAACCAGTCAGGAAAACAGAAACATTCCAGGTGTTTAACAGAAAATTGACTATGAGAAACTGCTCAAACAGATGTCAAGGACTGGCTTGGGGAAAAAAGGGTCACTGGGGTGACAGAGAATTCAGGTGAAAGTAGCAGCCAGCGTCTTCTGGGCCAAGAAAAGGGAAGCATTGGGGTGCTTAGAATGTTCTCATGCTGGCAAGCTCAGGTTGGAACCCAGCCCAGAGCTTCGAGGGGGGCATGGGATACTAGGTTTCTGGGGCGGGTGAGATTGTTAGTGCTGGGATGGAGACTGAGGGAGCTGGTGCTGCTGCCTGTAATCAGGAGGGAGACCCACTGGACTGAGGGCCTGTCTGTCTAACAGCTCTGTAGCAACCCCTGTGGGTGACCCATAGGGTCCGCAGCACAGTCCCAGCCCCTGACTTGGGCCAGCTCAAGGAGCGGGCTTGGCGCTGAGATCACAGCGGAAAAGCCAGTGCCGCACCCTCGCACTTGTAAATTTTTTTCCACTGTTCTATGGAAATGCTTATGAATACATGTACATATCTTATCAATGGCAGTATTCACTACAGCATTATTTGGAGTATAGCGTAATAAAAAATATTTAAAAACCTTCATTTCTATCAATTGCAGATGAATAAGTTAATAGTTTATCCATACAGTGGGCCTATATGAACCTTGAAAAATAGCATGGTATTTATAGTAAGTGGTTAAGTAATAAAAATGAAAATGCCATGCTGTGGTGGTCCCACCTGTAATCTCAGCACTCTGGGAGGCTGACACAGGAAGATTATAAGTTTAAAACCATCCTGAGAACCTTTGAGAAACCCACCCTCAAAAAAAAAGGAAGAAGGCATGGGATGTAGCTCAGTGCAAAGTCCCTGGCTTCCATCTCCAGCATTACAGGGCGGGGGGTGGGGGAACTGTAAGGAAGCAATATTTTTTTAATAAAAAACAAAAGGGCAGTTGATGTAGTGCCCGTTGCCCTGGGCCTGTCTCCATGGCCCCAGATCACAGGGCTTACAGTATGAATGTGGCATTGGTGACATTCCAGGATGCTGGGTCATATTGTTTTCTGCTCCCTTCACCATGCAGCCATGTGCCCTCTGGCCTGGACTGCACCACCTCTGTGGTCAGGGACAGATGACAACTTTCCTAATAATAGCCGCACTCATTGAATACTGACTGATCCTTCCACCTAATCCCCACTCTAAAGACAGGCTCTATAAATACCTCCCTTCCCCTCAGGGAAGCTGGAGCTCAGGAAGGCGAGGAGCTCGCCGGAGGTCGAGAACGGACAGGTGCGCAGGGCCAGCCGTTGCACACCAGCACCGGTGTGTGCGCCTGCACTGCTTTCTTCTGCAGCGAGCAGAAACCCCCCAGGGGCCCCTGCAGGGTGGAGGTGCTCACAGCCCTCAGGGTCCCAGCCAACCCTGTGAAGACCTCCAAACATGTGTGGCTGCCAGGCCCAAATCTTGAGTCCCCTACCAGATCAATGTGGGCACCACCTCCTCTCAGGCAGGAGTAGTATATGGCTTAGGAAATGCTGAACCTCCAGTTTTTGTTTCAAAAATAAAATCAGTTTTGCACAGTGTCAGTATTGTAGCCAGTGAGGTGTATCTGAGTCATGATTATTGCTAATTCAGAAATACAATCAGGTTTTAAAATAAGAGTACTCTGGGGACTCGAAGGACACTGATAAGAGAGTTTGTGTCCAGGCCCTTGCTGATCTGAGTGGGCAACCAGCCATGAGTGGGTTCCCTGCAGGTGGGACTGATGTTGCTATCCATCCTCCGTCATGGTCACACAAGGCCCATGGGGGGACAGGCTGCACTGGGGGCCGCTAAGGATAAGGGGGCTGTGGGCAGAGGACTTAGGAGGGAGCTTAGCTACCATGTAGCACCAAAGTGGACAGCGAGTGTAAAGGAGTGTAAAGGCCTTCGGGCCTGCACAGCTGAGCGTCAGGAAGCAGCTGTAGGAGGTGAAGTCAGCAGGAGTCAAGAGTTCACTAAGACCTTGTGGAACTAGAGCTCAGAGGTTAGACCTCCAGGTCAGAACCCGGGCTGGTGTAATGCAGAGGGAATTTTAGGAGGGAATGCTTCTAAGTGTGGGGAGAAGTAAGTATAAATTAATATAAGCTAGTAAGTTACTTGTGTAACTTTTGCGTAATTTGGAAACAACCCAAATATGGGCCACTGAAGATGGTGGGTGCACCACACCAGCCTCCGAGCCGGCTCTAGCAGGTTCCTCTTTTATCACCTCTGCACACCTACACAATCCAATGGCATTTGGTTCATCTAAAGAAGGGTTGACTCAGCTGGGCATGCTGGTGCACACCTGTAATCCAAGCCCTTAGGGTGTGTGTGTGTGTGTGTGTGTGTGTGTTTGTTTTTGTTTTTGTTTTTGTTTTTGGTACCAGGAATCAAATTCAGGACCTTGTGCTTGCCAGGCAGGCCGTTATGCCACTGGTGCTGTCTCTCTGCCTCTTATCCTAGTGCTTAGAAGGGTGAGGCCAGCCTGGGCTACAAAGTGATTTCAAGACCAGTCTGAACTACATAGTGAGACCCTATCTCAAAGGCCAAAGAAAAGGGGAAACTCAATATACACCAGCATATTAGGATCTTAGCAGGATACCTACTAAATTATCTGATTCTTTCATTTGTTTTTAAGGCAGGGTTTTACTAGATAGTTCATGTTGGCATTGAACACAGCGATCCTCCTGCCTCAGCCTTCCAGGTGCTGGGTTTTCAGATGTGTACCACCACATACAACTGAAAAATGTACTTCATTGAGTATCCAAGAGAGTCAGTCTTGGAACATGCTTGTTTGCATTTTCTTGACTAGAACTGGCAGATCACAGAGACAGGCAGGATGATGGCCTTGCTACATCTTGTTAAATTGACTGTAGAGAGACTGTTGCCATTCATTCCTGCCAACATGGTAGTGTGTCTGTCTTCCCCAAACGCTCACTCTTTTAGTTCTATAATCTATAAAGATGTACGATATATAAAATACATGAACATGTTTATCATGAACTCTTTAATTTCTCATGCTTACGCTGCATTCCATTTGCATAACTAAATTTGATTTTTTCCCATTTTATTATTTATGTGTGTGTGTGTGTGTGTGTGTGTGTGGCCACCTCGGCCCACCAGGGGGCGGGGCTGGCTGGCATGTGGTGCTGGGGGATTGAACCGCGGTCCCTGTGCTTTGCTAAGCTTGTTCTAAGTAGGTGCTTTAGACCACTGAGCCGTCTCACCAGCCCCGAAGAACTGAGCTAGAGCCAGGCCCCCCTCCCATTTTAATAAGTACAGGGATGCTGAAAATTAACAAATGAGCTATGTGTACATGGAGGATTCAGTGTTCATCTGAGCTTTAGGACCACTTGAAAGTATGCGCGACACACAGAAGTCTTTAGAGCACTGGACATCCTCACTAGAGTCATATCCTGCAATAAAATCCCCCCAGTTTTCTTCCTGTGCAGGGCTCAGCATTCGAAGTGCTCACACCTTTTGGGGAGCTCAACTTCCACTCCTTTCGAGTTGATGCTATTGAAGTGATGTCAGCCATTTCCAGCCTCTTCTTTCGGTGTTGAATCATTGCCAAACCTTTCCCCAGAAACTTTTTCTTTGAAACTACCTCATGAGCTGGCCAAATAGCTCAGTGGATTAAAGCTTCTGCAAGCAGGCACAGTAGCAGGAGTTCGATGCCCAGGCCTGCTGTGCCAGCCCCACCCTCAGGGCACACTGAGACAGTGATTGAGACTGGGCGTGGTGGCATGTGCCTGCAATCCCAGCTCTTGGGAAGCTGTAAACAGGTGGATCCCTATGAGTCTGATCTGGTAGTGAGACCCTGAACACCCTGTAGACCCTTCCCTGAAAAAAAAAAAATACAATAAATACATAAAGCCACCTTATAATTTCTCTCCTGCCTCCTCTCTGCAATATAGAGGTGGAATTTTACCTGATCTCTGCTATTGTAGACATATATTACCTCAGTGTCATTGGTGTGGTAATAAGTGTGTGTCTCTTAGTTTCTTTGCCTTTCTTCCTTAGATGTTGAGCATACCGGAGCCACCAGCGAGTTCTATGACAAGTTCACCATTCGCTACCACATCAGCACCATCTTTAAAAGCCTTTGGCAAAACATAGCTCATCACGGCACGTTCATGGAGGAGTTCAAGTGAGTAGTGGGTCCTCCTGCCTATCACAGCTTGTCTGTCTTGCAAATCACAGGTAGGATGCGGTGTGAAAACCTTCCTGGCTGGGTTCCTGGTTACTGTCTTTGTGATCTCTGCCTTCTGCAAGCTTAGCACAAGGTATTGCGAAATCGTGGCAGGGTTATCAGAATGCCTGCAGGCACTTGCATGATATGGCTGAGCTCTAGACTTGTCCACACTTTGGAGGTGGCTTACACACAGGTTCTTAAGTGTTTCATGCCGATTCTCTGATTGTCATCAGAAGGGCTGAAATGAGATCTGCAGTGCTCTTCAGAATTAGACATGGAGTTAGGTGGAGAAGCAGTTAGGGTTGCCTTCTGGGCTATCACTGTGGGTAGCCAGCCTCCCCACTTTGGTTAAGGACTTCCAGTAGCCTGGATGAGATTTCAGGGCCTCCTCACACCTGAAGAGTAGTGGTCCCATCTGTGTTTTCTGTGTTAGTGCCTTAAAAGTAAAGATGGAGAGAATAATGAACTTCTGAATTGTTCTTCAGAGAAACTTTATCCCGTCGACTTTGGATCTTCAGTATTCCGTTCCTTTTTTTTTGGTACAGGGTCTCGCTCCATAGCTCATTCTTACAGTGACCCTCCTGTCTTAGCCTTCCCAACACTGGGATTATAGTCATGCTCCACCATGCCCGGTTTCAGGGCCAGCATGGCATGCAGTACTGGGCATCAAACCTGGGTCTTTCTGCTTGCTAGGCAGGTGCTTGTAAGCCACCAAGCTAGGTCTTTGATCGAATCTTGAGACCATGCATTACCTTTGTTACCAGCCAATTGTAGCTGTGTTGCCAGCAGAGTGTGCATTTGATGGCTAGCTTCCTACAACATAAACCAAGATCATTTCCATTTGTCTGACCTTCTCTTAGGACCAGAGTTAATATTTCACCAAAAGCCAAGTGTAAGTGTACAGAGCAAACAGACCCAAGTTTCACAGTGCCACTTGGAAGGAAGTATGTGCCCTGGGCTCCTGGCATCCCGGGCCTTGGGCCTCACCCTTGTTCACAGAGGCCACTTTGCCTGGGCTTCCTTCCCCAGTTCCGCAGTCCTTGGTCCAGAAGCAGAGCTTCTCTTGTTGCCACCAGTCTGACAGCATCAAAGTCCTCTGGGCAGCCCACAGGGTTTCATTCAGTTCGCCAAGTCTCTTCATAGTCCCAGTCTGCAGAATGCTACCATAGATGGAAACCTCAGACTCTGCAAAATGAATTGCTATCCTCCTCCCTTAATATTGAAGGGTTTTTTTTTTTTTGTTTTGTTTTGTTTTGGTTTGGTTTTTTGATGGTTCTGTATGCCTTCAGGGCATTTCTAATGTGGCTTGAGGATCTGGGAATCAAACCACAGCAACCTGAGCCTAACTGCTGTGTTTAAGCAGTCACTTAAACAACTGTGCTATTGGGCAGGCCCCCCTCCTCCCTCAATATTAAAAGTTCCAGTTTGCCTTCCGTGCCATCTTTATGCTGAGGAGTGACCACAGTACTCTCTTGTCTGTATGCTAATACAGGGGACTGTTTGTGCTTTCCTTGCTTCATTGCGCATGTAGGCATATTTCCTTTTCAGTCTGAAACAGCATCTCTACTTAGAAACACTGAGGGGGAGCGCCAGGTCTGTGCTAGGAAACCTGCTCTTGAGGGAAAGCTGTCCATGGTGTGAATGTGGCCCTATTGCCAATTTAAGCTGCGAAAAGAGTTGGCTCAGAGACTCTGGAGTGCTTCGCAGTGATTGCCGTGAGCCACACGGTGCTCCAGCACATTGCTAGGATGAGCCCTTGACCTCCCTGAGGCCTGGGGTCCACCAGCTGGGCAGCCCTGAGGGGTGCGGACGGTGCCAGGGAAGGCTTGCTTTTCCTGGGACCTGCTGGGCGTGTGACCAGCACCATCTCTTGCCTTGCAGTTCTGGGAAGCAGTTCGTTCGCTATATAAACATGTTGATAAATGACACAACGTTCTTGCTTGATGAAAGCCTGGAGTCGCTGAAGCGGATCCATGAGGTGCAAGAGGAGATGAAGAACAAAGAACAGTGGGACCAGTTGCCGAGGGTGAGGATGTGCTGTGGGGTCTACATGGTCCTGTGGGGACACAGACAGGTGGAGCTCTGGCACAGGCTGCATCTGCAGGTTCAACTGGTGGCCCTGGGGCTTACTGTGCTGATTTTCCTACCTAGGGGAGCCTTAAATCCCAGGTTTGGAATAGAAGAAAGTGCTTTTTTGATGGTAGGAATGGAATCCATGGCTCCATGCATGCTGGGCTGCCTCCTGGCTAGGAGCCAGCTTGCTTTTTTTTTTTTTTTTTTCCATTTTTGAGACAGGGTCTCACTATGCAGTTCAGACTGCTCTTGAGCTCTTTTAATGTATTTGGTTATTATAGTGTACATTGTTCAGACTGGTGTGATCCTTCTGCTTTCAGCCTCTCCAGTGCTGGGATTACAGGCATGCGCCAGTAAACCCAGACTCCAATGGGCTGAGCCCATCCTGGGTACAGGCTGGCGCAGCTTGTGGTCCCTGCGCCTGCCTAAGCTTGCCTAAGCAGGCACTTTAGTCCACTGAGCTATCTCGCTGGCCCCTGCCTTGAGCTCTTGAGCTCACTTTGTAGCCAAGGCTGGTCTTAAACTCTGCAACAACCCTCCTGCCTCAGCCTACCAAGTAGTTGGATTCCAGGCATGTGCTACCACATCTGGCCAAGACCTAGCTTTTTAAAGCCCTTTAAAAGCAATGAGTTGAGAAGCTAACTTAGTTACTTTTTACTCATTGCTGGAACAAATACCCGACACTCAAAATGATGTAAGGAAAGGTTTATTTAGCTCAGTTACTGGAGGGTTCAGTCCATATTCCACTGGCTACAAGGCAAACAACAGAAGTTCATGCGGCAGAAAACAATGAAGAGCAGAGGAGGAGCAGCAGCTGCAGCGGCGCGCATCCATCAAGCCTCTCTTCCTTCTGCGGAAAGACCAGTGCTGGGAGCCACTCAAAGATCAAGCTCCTCCAGAGACTGAGACTTCTCCACCCAAGGGGGGTGGGGTGGCAGGAAACCAGGCAGGGCAACTTCCTGCCTTTCTTAATTCCTGGGCCCTGCCCACCTGCAGGGCTAGACCCCATGCTGAGAGCTGGGGGGGCGATTCAGCCAAGTTGACACAGTGTATCAACTAACACAATCCACCCCTTGTCAACTTGGCAACTAGACATACACTTTTTTAAGCCAATTTCCAGGTACACAGACATGCTTAAACATCTTACAAATTGAACATTGCATTACATTAGAACCATGACATGCTTCCCCTGGCCCTCCAAAGACTCATGCACAACTGTTTATGCAAAAGACTAATTTTAGTCCATCTCTAAGAGTTGCCAAAGTCCTACCAGTTTCAGCAACACTGAAAAGTCCAAGTCCCAGACTTCTAAGATCTAAGGCAAACTCTTAGCTGTGAGCCCCTCCACAAATGAAAAGTTAAACACTTCTAACATTCACAGGCACAAGATAAACATTGCCATTGCCATTCCAAAAGGGATACACAGCAGGATACAAACAATTGGGACCAAAACAAGTCCAAAGTCCAGAAGGGCAAATATGTCCTGTAGTTCCCTGTGGACTATCCAAAGTACCCTGTAATGAGTAGTGAGCTCCATTTGGGCTCTTACATGGCTCCACCCCATGGCACTTCTGCTGGTAGCTCGTAGGGCTTTTCTCTCAGGCCTGCTTTGCTCCCTTTTTGCAGCTTTTCTTAGACCATCCACATTCCTGGCTTTTTCAGACTTCTGAGGTTTCCACTGAATAGGCTTCTCATTCACAGCTTCACACACTGCCCTCTCATGCGCACACTGCCTAGCTTCCCAGGTTTTCTTCTGAAATCTGGGTGGAAGCCTTCTGAACCTCAGAATGCCTGCATTCTGCATGAGCCTACAACCAAAGCCACGTGGATGATGTCAAGGGTTGCTGCCAGCTGGAGCAGTAGCCAGGGTTTCCTCTCTCTTGGCTGTAGGGATTGAGTGCCTGGATTGATGAGCATTCTGACTCTCATTCCAAGAAACAAATTCTCCATGTTGGCGCCATTCTGTAATCTGGTGTGGCTGCCGCCTCCATTCTGGAACATGGGGCTCTGCAGCTTTCTCCTCAAAGCAAAGTCCCTCACCCTTGCCATTCTGAGGCTGCAGAGGGCAAGAACCTGCCACCTCCTGTGATGCCCTCAGGACATCTTTTCTACTCTCCTGTTCCTTCTCAGCAATGGAGATCCTCTCAGCTCTGTCTTCACAGTCCACAGCTTTCCTGGAGCATCCTTTCTGGCCAAACTCACAACATTTTAAATCATCCTTTTGGGCTCTTTGCTCTTGATTCTCAAAATAAATCTGGCTAAAAGCCACCGGGCCACTGCCCCAATATTTGGCTGCCTTGAAATTTCTTTTTCAAGATTAACTAGTCCACTGTGCTTAATTTCAGTCTCAGACAAGCCTTCTGCCAACCCATAACACAAATCATCTGCAGTCCAACAACCAATGCTGTCCTTCTTCCCAGCAGAAACCTCCCCAGCCTGGTCTTTACAGGCCGGCTTTCTAGCAACCTTCTGGTCTTCTGAGCTCTGACCAGAATCTCCCATACAGTACAGCTGAAGCTGTTCCAGTGCTTCGCTTATAGACGACATCTCCAAACCTTTCCTATCTCTTCCCATAAGCCAGTCCCAAAAGCTTGTAATCCACATTGTCAGGTATAGCCACAGCAATGACCCCACTCCCGGTACCAAATTCTGTCTTAGTTACTTTTTACTCGTTGCTGGGACAAATACCTGACATTCAAAATGATGGAAGGAAAGGTTTATTTAGCTCACAGTTATTGGAAGGTTCAGTCCATATTCCGCTGGCTCCAAGGCAAACAACAGCAGTTCATGCGGCAGAAAACAATGAAGAGCAGAGGAGGAGCAGCAGCTGCAGCGGTGCGGAGTCTATCAAGCCCTTCTGCGCTGACTGATCGGAGCTCAACCAAAGTGGTGCGGCTGCAAGGATGAAGCTCCTCCAAAGACTGAGATTTCTCCACTGAAGTGGGGTGGGGCGGCAGGAAACCAAGCAGGGCAACTTCCTGCCCTTCTCAATTCCTGGACCCTGCCCACCTGCAGGGCTAGACCCCATGCTGAGAGCTGCTGGGAGCTGATTCAGCCAACTTGACACAATGTATCAACTAACACAAGCCTTTCAAAGTACATTCTGAAAACCCTCTCTAGCTTTTTAATTTTAAAGTTTTTGTTTTTTAGCTTCTTGAGACAAGGTCTTAAGTTCAGGCTGGCCTCAAACTTGCAGCAGTCCTCCTGCCTCAGCCTCTCTTTTTTAAGAGAAGAGCTTTTATTGTCCAAATGTATTAAAATTTGTGTAAGAAACTTGGAAATAAATCTCCAGATATCTGTCTGCTAGATGAGAGTCTATTTGCACCTATATTTTTCCCTGGACAACTCTGAATTGCTCAGGTAGTAAGCTCAGGTGCGGCGTTCTCTCTAGTGATACTGGGTTTTGTAATCAGTTATTAGGAGATGAGAAGCCTGGTTTCCATGAAGACTTCACATTGTGCTAGTGACAGTACATCCTGTCCGTGATACAGTGACAGCCCTAGATCCTCCTTTGCACTATTATTGGGCTCTTGACAGCTTCAGTGACAAAATGCTTCGGAGTCAGAACTACCTTCCAAAGGGATTCTCACCCTTTTAATACCCTCACCATGAAGACACAGTGAATGTGCTAATGTTCTGGAGTCAAAAAATATGATAGCTGGGTGTGGGAGTGCATGCCTGTAATCCTAGCGCTGGGGAGGCTGAAGCAGACAGATCACCATGAGTTCTAGGCCAGTCTGGACTACTTAGTTTGTTCAACACCAGCCTGGACTACATAGTGAGACCTTGTCTCAAAGGAAAATGAAAAACTTTTAATAAAGAGTATTATAAATGTAGGCTATTGCATCATGTTTAGGGAAGTCTTTCATTCTAGGTACCTCTGCAGCTTTCATTGGAATTTGACATTTTGCTCCATACTGCTTACCAACCACACCATGAATTTAAACCCTCTGCCCAGGATCCAGAGGCTGGGCTCCGTCAGCTCTCACCCACATGCTCCTTGGGCCCCTCTGGGTTCAGTGAGCTAGTGCAGCAGTCCTGTCTGGCTCCACGCTGGCACCCCTGGCATCCACACACACTGCCTCCTATTCATTTCCAGGCACGCCCTCAGCTGTCTTGCTACCCGGCTGCAGAGCCCTCCCACAGTCCTGCAGCTCCTGGGACTGAGGCGGCCCTGGTGCCCGACGCCACAACCTCCCAAGGCAGCACTCAAATCTGCCGGACTCCTCCCCTCTGCAGTCAGTAGATTCCGATGGCTCGGGCGGGGGAGTCAGGGAGGCATCCTTGCAGCACCCCAGCTCTGGAGGCCCAGGTGACCTGGGCCTGAGAGCTGGCATTTCCTTAATGCAGAAGGCAGAGAGGACACCTGCCTTGCAGGAGCTCCATGGGCAGGGAGAGGGATGTGGAGTTTGCTGTGGTGCATGCAGCTCGGTTTCCTTCACCAGGAGACATTTTTTTTTTTAATTTATTTTTATTTATTACATTTATTTATTGTGTGTGTGTGTGTGGCCAGCTCAGCCCACCAGGGGGCGGGGCTGGCTGGCATGTGGTGCTGGGGGATCGAACCGCGGTCCCTGTGCTTTGCCAAGCTTGTTTCAAGTAGGTGCTTTAGACCACTGAGCCATCTCTCCAGCCCCTGCCAGGAGACATTTCTTTCCTATGCGGTGTGAGGCTCCTGCTGAGCTTGAGCAGTGACTGTGCAGCTCCTCCCTCGGGGTGGCTGAGGCCTTGCCACCCTCTTCCTGTGCAACACCCGCTTCCTGCCTCTTGGGAACTTAGCAAAGACCAGCTCGCTCTTAGATGCTGGGCTCCAGGTCAGTGCTTAATAGCATCTGGGATGAGACATCAAGGACATCAATTTGTCTCTTAATGGGTGCGGAAAGGCACAGAGAGTCCCTGGCTGTCACTTTCAGAGAGCCTTTTTCCTCCCACCTGCCCGGCTGTTCTGCCCTTGTCCTCCATCTCTGAACCCAGGCAGCCTCCTGCGCTCAGCCTTCCGGCCACTCCTCTTTCGCCAGCTTTGTTGCTAAAGTGCTGGCTGCAATTTTAAGCCAAGTGGAGTTTGGTGATCATGAACTCTTCCTGGTGACAAGACTGTCCCCTCCACTGCAGGATGTGAAGCACCTTGTTCCTGCCCCTTTAACGCCAGGGACTTAGCTTCCTACCTCAGTTGTCATGTAGCCAGAAGCATTCACAACACAAAGCCCAGTTGAAAATCACTGCCAGGTGGTAACTAGTCCATGGATTTAAATTATGCTTGGGGGCTGGTGAGATGGCTCAGTGGTCTAAAGCACCTACTTAGAACAAGCTAAGCCAAGCAAAGCACAGGGACCTCGGTTCAATCCCCCAGCACCACATGCCAGCCCGCCCGCCCCCTGGTGGGCTGAGCTGGCCACACAGTAAATAAATAAATAAATAAATAAATATTTTTTAAAAATAAATAAATTATGCTTGTTGGCTCGCGTGGTACTGAGGGTGGGACCCCCGGCCTTGGCAGTGAGCTAGCTGCATCCCTTTTTTCAAGACCAGATCTTTCTAAAGTGCGCAGGCGTGGCTTCGTGCCTCAGCGTCCCAGAGTGCTGAGATGGTAGGCATGCGCCACCACACCCAGCCCTAAATTCACCTTTATTTTCAAGACTATAATATTTCTTTAGCTTATCTGGCCTGCCTGCAGCCCTTTGTAACCAGTGCTGTCTTGCTTTGCCCCTGGGTGATGTGAAATGTGTTCCAAAACAAACCCTTGCTGTGGTCCTCCAGCTTTGGCCTTTAAGTGTGCCTGGTGTTCATACTCCACACTGTAGCATTGTCCTTATTCTTTTTTTTGTTTTTTCCTTTTTTTTTTTTTTTTTTTTTGGTGGAACCAGGGATTGAACTCGGGCCCTTGCGCTTGCCAAGGAAGCACTTATTCCACTGAGCCATCTCCCCGGCCCCCATGTGCTTCTTCTTGCACCCCTCTCTGTGAAGGCCTCCAATTTGTACCTTAAGATGGGAGCTGGGCTGTAGCTTCATGTGGAGCCCTTACCTGGCAAGCCTTGGCTTCCACCCTAACGCCATAAGAAAAGGAAAACAGAAGCAAAGGAATGCCTGTCATATGTGTGATTCCCCCCTTCCCACCCCCACCACTTCTGCCATCCCTTGGTGTCCCATGTTCAGAGCCCTCTGGACTGCCCCTATGCTAGGCACTCAACAATGGCCCCTCTAGGGGGGCAGTGCCTCTCTGCCCTCTTCCCCATGTCTGCCAGCCACCTGCCTCTGTGCCCTCCCTGGGATATGCAAGGTGCTCAGCATGCTGTCCCTCTGCCTGTGGAGCCCTGTCCTCATTCTTTCTGGGCTGGCTGCATCCCTCAATAGCCCTCTTACCTCTCACTGAGAGGTGTCCCCAGCCTCCCACACCTGGGTCTGTTCCTGCTGTCCTTTTCTGGACAGGCCTGCTGTGTGCTGTGCAGTGGGCTGCTTGCACAGTCGGCACTGTGTCACCCTGGAGTTTGAACCCCTCCTGCAGGCATCCAGGCCTACAGCCTTACCCCCATGGCCTGCAGGACATGGATAGCGAGGTAATGGGAGGCCTGATTCATGGCCTCCCTAGAGTAGCCTGCTTCCCAGTGGGCTCACACTGAACCAAGACAGCTGGGCACACCTAGCCTGGCTGTGGAATCTCCACCAGGTACCTGCTGACCTCTGAGCAGGGCTTGTGAACTTAGCTGCACTAGCCCTCTGACTGTTTTTATTTTATTTATTTATTTTGATGGAATCAGGGATTGAACTCAGGCCCCTGCACTTGCCAGGCAAGCGCTTATCCACTGAGCCATCTCCCCAGCCCCTTCTGCACTGGCCCTCTTGAGTGGATGTGAAAATGAAAGCCCTCAGTGTACCCCCTGATTTTACCCTGAATCAGACAGGCCTCATTGACCATTTCCTACCCTGTGGCAGGACTGAGGGAGGGGGACAGCCTGGCATCATGGGAAGATGGAAATCGGAAGCACACGCAGCATGGGGCTTGTGGAGGGTAGGGCAGGGCAATGCAGAGAGGCCTCGGGTCACAGCACAGGTCCTGACAGAGTGTGAAATGGAGAGGATGAGTATAAGTCGTTAGGAAGGCGAGGACTGGCTCTTCAGAGTCACTTCCTCTCTCCTGCATAGACTCCTGCATAGACGTCAGTTATCATTGAGAAAACTTAGACTTGAATGAGCCCTGGGCCAGAGCTTGGGCCAGGCTCTGGGTTCCACCTGTAGCATCAAAGCAAAGAGGTTCCACGGCCCCTGGACTTCAGGCTGGAGCGTTTTGACATTGAAAGATGGGACTAGACCCTCAACACACTGGCGGGGCAGGCTATCCTCTCGCTCTTCAGCTGCCGGCTTCATGACCATCTTCTCTGATGTGACCTGGTGCTTGGCAAGCTGACGCCTGCTGCAGGCCTCATGTCCGCTGTTTCCCAGGATCAGCAGCAGGCCCGGCAGTCTCAGCTGGCGCAGGATGAGCGCGTCTCCCGTTCGTACCTCGCCCTGGCAACAGAAACGGTGGACATGTTCCACATCCTCACCAAGCAGGTCCAGAAGCCATTCCTTCGGCCGGTGAGTAGATGCTGCCAGGAACCCAGCTCTAGCTCCTGGCACTTGTGCTTGGGGTTGTTTGTGTATACGTTTCGTTTTTTGGGTTTGTTTCACTTCCTCTTGCTTTTTTTTTTTTTTTTTTGCTCTGTTTCACCTTGTTATACGTGATCTCGCTATACGCCCCAGGCAAGCTTAAAACTCACAGCAACCCCTTCTCCCCCTCAGCCTTGCTAGTGCTGGGGTTTTAGGTGCGCCCCATCTGGGGTGTAATGCACTTACGCAATTGTAGAAATACCAATATACCAAAACAGCAAAAAGTGAAATTTTGTTACTGATTTTGTTCCCACCTTCACTGCTTGATACTGCATTGCTCTGCTGATAGACATCTGATGTCCCCGCAGTCTACAAATAGTCACTTCCAGGATGACTTTGCTCACTTTCTGCTTAGACAGCATGTAGTACGTTGCACTTTTTTTTATAATGGAGTTGGAACTTATTTTTATCACAATTGATTCCTGTGTTTTATTTATAGAGAAAGTATAAAGTAACTTAATGTATTGGAGTATATTAAGTAGGATGTTTGATAACATGCTAAATGTTTGGTTCTCTTAGGTAGCTGTGTTAACAGGAAGCCAAAGGTTGCTGCACTGGTAATCTTCATAACATTCTGGAGGCTGAGGCAGGAGGATCCCAAGTTTAAGGACAGCCTGGGCTACATGGCAAATTCAAAGCCCCCCTGGATTATATAGCAAAACCCTGTCGAAAAATGTAAAAACTTGGGGCCGGGGAGATGGCTCAGTAGAATAAGCACTTTCCTGGCAAGCGCAAGGGTCTGAGTTCAATCTCCGGTTCCACCAAAAAAAAAAAAAAAACAACCAACCTAAAAACTCAAGCCAAGGATGGTGGTGCACACTGGTAATCCCACCACTCCAGAGGCTGAGATAGGAGAATCACTGAGTTCAAAGCCAGCCTGGGCTATGTAGTGAGTTCAAGGCCAGGTCTACATAGTGAGTCCCCGTGTCACAAACAAATCCCCAAGCTCTCCTAGTTTAAAGAAAAATTACCAACTCTACCCTAAACTCATCACACCCTTATCTCCAGCTTCTCAGCAGGGGACAGAGGAATGCTTCGTGCAAACACAGAGCCTTGGAGGCTGAGTGCAGCTGGACTCTGCCTAGACCCAGTCAGTATATTTTATGAATACCTAAGCACTCAAAGGGCAGCTTTGGACTCCTTTTTATGATCAGCATTTGATACTCTCTAATTTAGGCCAGAAAGTGTTTCATTTAAGTTTACTTTGTCTTGCTGGCTGGATTTAAAACTATTCAAGGCCTAAGTTTTGTTTCCTTTTGCATTTCCTTCTGGCTGGTAGAAAGGCATACCCTGAACTGCCAGTAAATGATGCCCAAAAGAGTCGAATCCAAAACTTGGTTGTTGTGTTGTTTTGAGACAGGGTCTCACTATGTAGGCCATGTGGGCCTTGAACTCCCAGCAGTCCTCCTGCCTCAGCCTCTAGAGAGCTGGGATTACAGACATGCACTACCATACCCAGCAATAATCCAGAGCTTCTGTGACTCAAGTGACGATGGGTATATGAATTATTTTCCCTCTTTTATCTGTTTTTCTTAGTTACTGTCATTGCTGCTGAGACACAATATCCTACATCTACAGTTAAAGGAGGAAAGGTTTATTTAACTCACAGTTTGTAGTAGTTTTAGTCCATAAGACTGGCTGCAAGGTAGGGGACCACATGGCAGAGGAGAAATGTTTCATGGTGGCAGAAGGCAGCAACACAAGCAAGGGCCAACCACAGCTCTTCTGTCCCTCATGTCTCATACGGGCTGCTTAGGGCACAAGCACCGTCACACCATTAACCCTGCGTCCGTCAGCCTAGCATTGCTTTGCGAATCACCCCAGCGTTACACACTCTGGACCCAGCCACCTGTGAAAAAGCTTCACCTGCAACTGCGAGGGGCTTCGGGGGGAACACCCAGGCACACTGTAGCTGAGTGTAGTTTGAATCTGCACCATCACACTGTTGTTTAATAAATTTGGGCTAATATGTAACTTTTATGGTTAAGTCATCAGTGTAGACCGGGCCTGGCAGTGCATACCTACAGTCGCAGTGCCAGGAGGCCAAGGCTGTCCCGGGCCCCGTAGAACTGCAGTACACAGGGAGACCCTATCTCAGGAGAACACCCCCCCCCCAAAAAAAAAAGACAATTCATAAATGTCAAGAAAAGCCTTTTGTAGTGTTTGTAGGTGTGCTGTCACCCTCCAACATTCCAGTAAGTACTATAATATTCTGCTTCGAAATAGGGAGTAAGGACAGTTTGAATGTGATGCTGGCAATCTTCAGCTAATGCTGAAGGGAGTTTTGAAGATTAAACCAGCCAATTCCTGGTCCTCCCCTGCCGTGGGAGCTGCCAATCCCTGTCAACTAATTGCAGCAGTGCCACTGTAGCATTTTCCTGTGGTTTCCTAGGAACTCGGACCCCGTTTGGCTGCGATGTTGAACTTCAATCTTCAACAGCTCTGCGGCCCCAAATGCCGTGACCTGAAAGTGGAAAACCCTGAGAAGTACGGCTTTGAACCAAAGAAGCTGTTGGACCAGCTGACCGACATTTACCTGCAGCTGGACTGCGCACGCTTTGCCAAAGCCATCGCCGACGACCAGGTCAGTGCTGTGGTTGTGGGGGAGCAGGTGCAGGCTGCAGGGCTGTTCCTGGCCAGGGAGCCCGTGCAGTTACATGGCATCTGTCCATAGACCTCCCCGATTGACATGGAGCCTGGATGGGGGTCCCGAGCACAGAAGCAGGGGTCCAGGAGATGAGCTGCTAACTAAAGGTTTCGAGGGCCCGTGCTGTGTAGGAAGTCTGAGTTCTTTGTTCCAAGACTAAATACTATTCCTCCCTTGTGGATGAGCATTGGCTCGTTCCCAGCCTGTGGCTGATGTCACTGATGCTGCCATGATACACGTGAAGCGCGTGCGTGTGTTTGTGTGTGTGTGTGTGTACACACGTCTCGTTCTGGTTCTAGGCTCCATGCTTAGCATGGAAACTGAGTGTTTAAACCTGTACCGCTCGACACCCCCTCAGAGCCTGGATGAGGCCTTGCGCTTCTCCCCACCTGTGCTAACACTAGCTTATTTCTGGCTAACGACTCGTTGTGTCTTGGCCAGCCATCCTGGGTGACTGTGATTTGCGTTTCCCTGGGGAGAAATGTAGTTGGACCCCTTGCCTGTGGGTTCCAGCCCCTCGTGTACTTTACTAAAAGAAACATCTGCTCTAAAGTGCTGGCTTCTTCCGATTCAGGGAGTTTGTGGTGCTTGTGGAGTTGGAGGTGGCCTCTGTGTGTTCTGCCTACCAGGTACTGCAGCTCTGTTTGGTGGCCATTTTCGTCTGTCTTCTGTAGCCACTCAGTGGGGTGCTCAAGGCAGCGTCTGAGCTGCTTCTCCTGCCCTTTGCCTTAAGTGTCCTCCAGGTTCCCTCTGCGCAGGCCACTGCTGTCTTGCACTAACTTCCAGACCACACAGACCAGTGGGTTCAGCCTCTTTTTTTTCTTTTGGCAGGACCGGGGATTGAACTCAGGCCCTTGGGCTTGCCAGGGAAGTGCTTATTCTACTGAGCCATCTCCCCGGCCCCAAGCCTCCTCTTTTGTAGCAGCTGTTTTTTGAAGATAGCAAATGGGCTAAGCAGCTTCTGTCCCGAAGGGTTGATGGAGCAGGAAATCTCAATAGCATCTATACCAGTGCCCATGCCAGGCTTCAGGAATTCCCTGTGCATGTGGTGTGTGGTTTTTTTTTTGTTGTGGTTTTTTGATTAATTGGTTTTTGGTTTTTTTTTTTTTAGTTAGTTGGGTGTTTTTTTTGGTTTTTGGTTTTTTGCAGTAGGGTCTCGCTCTCACTATTGCTTCAGGTTGGCCTCAGACTCTCCCAGCAATCCTCCTTCCTTAGCCTCCCAAGAACTGGCATCTCAGTTGAGATCTTCCTTCTCTTTCCAGTGTTTTAACTTTATTTTATTTATTTTTAAAATGTATTTAGTACAGGGTTTCACATGTAGATCGGACTCAGTGATTCTCCTGTTTTCAGCCTCCCGAGCACTGGGATTACAGGTGCGCGTCACCACACCCAGTCTTCCAGTGTTTTAACTTTAAAGGAACCACCAGGGATGTAGCTCAGTGGCACAGGTGGGGCCGGGGAGATAGCTCAGTAGAATAAGTGCTTGCCTGGCAAGTGCAAGGGTCTGATTTCAATCCCCCGTACTGGGGGTAATAAAACAAATGGCACAGGTGCCTGCCTGGCAAGTACAGACAGGGTCCTGAGTTTGATTCCTGATAAATAAATAAATAAGGGGGGCCAGGGAGATGGCTCAGTGGAATAAGCGCTTCCCTGGCAAGTGCAGGGGCCTGAGATCAATCCCCGGTTCCACCAAAAACAAACCTTTCGAGGGATATGCACTGTCTTCAGATGTCCAGGTGCTCTCCATCGGCCTCCCTCCTGCCTCCCTCCCTGTATGCAGTGTCCTTGTACATCCTACATGACACATCAGTGTAGAGTGAATCTTGTGTGTGCATGTGCATACCCCTGTGTATGAGTTGAGGACTTGTGTATGTGTGTGTGTGTGTGTGTGTGTGTGTTTGGGACAGGGTCTCACTGTGCAGTTCAGGCTGGCCTTGAGCTCACTTTGTAGCCCCGGCTGCTCTCACAGTGATTATCCTGCGTCAGTGTCTTGAATGCCGGAATTGCGGGTGTGCACTGCCATGCCCAGTGTGAGTTGAGGATTGAACCCAGGGAGGGCCTCGAAGGTGCCAGACAAGCACTCTTATCTACCAAGCTGCATGTACCGCCAGCCCCTGAAGAGTGGGTCCTTTCATGTGGCTTAAATACATAGACTGGACCGGAACGCACGCGTGCCGCGTACCGTGTAATCATGTCTGACTTAGCGCTGGGATCCTGTTGGGCACTTCGGCCTCCAGTGCAGGCCTCACACCTTGCGCGGCCTCCTCTTTGCAGAGATCCTACAGCAAAGAGCTGTTTGAAGAAGTCATTTCAAAGATGAGGAAAGCAGGAATCAAGTCCACCATAGCAATAGAGAAGTTCAAACTCCTTGCCGAGAAAGTGGAGGAGATCGTGGCAAAGAACGCACGCGCGGAGATCGACTACAGTGATGCCCCTGATGAGTTCCGAGGTACGTGGCCACTCTTCTGTGCTGACTGCCTTGAGTTTACGAGGCAGCATTGCTTGTGATGTTTTGATGATGTGCTACAGCAGCTTTGAGAAGCTGTCCAGCGCCGGCCAAATAGCTCAGCAGATTAAAGCTTCTGCAAGCAGGCGCAGGGGCCAGAGGTTCGAGCCCTGGGCCTGCCCTGCCAGCCCCGCCCCCTGGGGCACTTGAGACAGCAATTGAGACTGGGTGTGGTGGCATGCGCCTGTAATCTCAGCACTTGGGAGGCTGCGAACAGGCGGATCACTATGAGTCCAATCTAGTAGTGAGACCCTGAACACCCTGCAGAGCCTTCCCTAAAATACAAAGAAATAAAATAAAAAAAGAAGCTGTCCAAAATTATGTCTGCCAGTTTTTACCCAATATTATAAACCAAAAAGGTGGTTTGGGGTTTTTTTGAGCCAGGGGCTCCCTGTTTCTGAGGCTGGCCTGATGTCTGTGCAGACGAGGCTGGCCTACTTGTGGTCCTCCTGCCTCTGCTTCCCACAATAGGCGTGCATACGCCACCATACCCAGTGTGTAAATTGAAAAAGAAATGTTCTTAGTCTGATATCAAACCACATAGAATCCCTGGTATATTATTTAAGGGCAGCTTTGCCTTTTTTTTTTCCTCTTGTATTTTAGGTAAGGGTCTATAGGGTGTTCAGGGTCTCACTGCTAGATCAGACTCATAGTGATTCTCCTGTTTATAGCTTCTGAAGTGCTGGGATTACAGGTACACACCACCATGCCCAGTCTTGATTAGTGTCTCAGTGTGCCCCGGGGGCAGGGCCTGCACAGCAGGCTAGGGATTGAACCCCTGGCCCTTGTGCCTGCTTACAGGCACTTTAATCTGCTGAGCTATTTGGCCAGCCCTGTCTTTGCCTTTTCCTGGGGACACACACTTTCAAAGAATTCAGAGACATTTTGAAACAAGGATCCCAGCACACTCCTATAAATCTCCTGGGAGGCTGAGGCAGGAAGATTACAAATTCAGGCCTGACCTGGGCAAATCAATTGACTTAGGGAGAACCTGTATGAAAATTTTTTTTAAAAAAATGTTAAGGATGTACCTCAGTGCATAGGCCCTGAGTTCAGTCCCCAGTGCTGCCAAAATAGACTCACAGCAACAAACTAAAGCAACTGGTCCTGGCCTGGCAGACCTGCCAAGCGCCTGGCCCACTGTCTTTTCTTCCTTCCTAGCAGCTGTGGCGTGGGCCCATCTGAACAGGCCCTGCTCAGGCCTTTCGCTAACTTGGCCCCTACTGGCCACCTGCTTGCTCCTTGGTGGCGGCAAGGGCTCAGGTCTGTTCTCTCGTCCACGTGGCCTCTGTGGTTAGCTTTGAGCTTGTCCTGCTGTGTCCCTGCAGACCCCCTGATGGACACACTGATGACTGACCCCGTGCGCCTACCCTCCGGCACCATCATGGATCGCTCCATCATCCTGCGACACCTGCTGAACTCGCCCACCGACCCATTCAACCGGCAGACGCTGACAGAGAGCATGCTGGAGCCAGGTAGGCAGGCAGGGCTGCCAGAGCACCCCAGTGGGGAAGTCCCACCCCCACCTGGTCCGGTTTCTGCCTCTGTTCCAGGGATGGAGCCATATCGCGAGGCAGCATGCTCCCAGCTGGGCCTTAATCCCCTCTCTTTCTTCCCTCAGTGCCAGAACTGAAAGAACAGATCCAGGCATGGATGCGAGAGAAACAGAACAGCGATCATTAACTGTCCCCTTTGCCACCTGCTGCTGGAAGCAGCCAAGGCCATCGGGGCAGGCAGGAGCAGCCCCTGTGCCGAATGAAACCGACGCTGTGTTAGGGCCCGGGAGTGGTCCTGTCCCCGAGAGCCCGTCCCAAGTGACCAAACTGCAGAGACCCACAGGGCCCCGGATGGGAAAAGGAGCCCAATTCCTGTACATATATTTAAGTGACACAGTCAGGAGCTTGAGGGACAAGCTTGAATGCTTGCATAATAAAGCACGTCCTTCACATGTCACAGTTGGGGCTTTTGCAACGAGAGCGTTTAGTGATGACAAGTGGGTCTGGGCAGTGTCCCTTTCATATTTTTTTTTTAATCCAATATCCGTTGATTTAATTGTGATTAGAGAACTTGGACATTTTGCTGCTAAAGAATCTGCCCCCTCCTGACCCTACTTGCACTGCTGTGGATTTTTTTTTTTAAGCAAAAAGAAAAAACCTTTCCCTAGCCCTCCAAACATATATTCTGTGAAATAACTGTGCCTGCAACAAAGTGTTAATCCTGGGATCGTATTTTTATATCATATTCACGTATTTGTTTTTTTTTTAAATGGGTGTTAGATGACATGATTAATAAAAAAGGCAAGATATTTTCAGAATTTAAATTTTTTTTTCTTCTTTTGAAATGTCCCCTTTAAATTTTTTTATGATAAAATCAAGAGACTCCTGTCTCTCTAGTCCTTAGAACAAGCCCCGTTAGGAATCGAAGGGACACCGACAGCAGTGAGTGCTTGTGTAGGACGGACAGGAGGATTTTGGAAGTGGGGTGAGGGTAGGTTTCTTTCTTCTTCCTCTTCTTCTTTTTTTTTTTTAAACTATCTGTGGGTTTGAAACCTTCACCCTTCTTCCCCTATGAGGGTAGATGAATTCCTCAGCCCTTGAGTCTGGGGTCGGAGGCAGGATTCGTTTGCACAATGTGTTCTTTGGGGCTCGGACTTACCAAAGCAGAACAGAGTGCAAGACCCGTGGACGTGCATCTGCTGCTTTACACACACACACACACACACACACACACACACACACACGTTTTGTATTACTAGTCCCTACATGAAATACTTGAATTCTACAGTTTCCTTTGGGGTAAAAAGGATTTGAAACCATGAAGTGTTTGGAAGAAATTAATTCTAAAAAACATACTTTTTTTTTTCTCTTCTCCCATGCCCACAGACAGTGTCCTCTGTTCGATTCCTAACGCAAACGACAATAAATGGTGATACACAGCAAGAAGGAACCTGAGTCGTCTTTTTGTGGAAAAAAGAGGGTGGGGAGCTGGAGGCAGCAAGTGGCGAGCTCTTTCACAGGGCTTCTCCCTCCTGGGTGGCAGCTGGGGATGCTTTGGGCTCTGTCCCACCGGGTGTTCTGTCTCCAGGGTTACAGACCTTAGAGATCTTTGCCCTGATTGGCCAGATTCATGCACGGGCCTCCCCCACTCATCAGCATCCTCCCAGGCCCTGTGGTGTGGAGACCACTGAGCAGCAGGCAGCACCCTGGCATTCCCCGTGTGCCAGGCACTCCGCATCAGGCCTGTGCGCTTGTGGGCCAGCCTTAGGAAGACAGCAGCGCTGATTGTTTCCTGTTGTTATTTTGTCTTCCATATGTCGGGGTGTGGAATGTGGAGAGGTAGGTGACCTGCGCCATGCCACTTAGCTGAGCCCAAGATGAGGCTGTGGAGCACGTGCTCCACATGTGACCCAGCCTTTGGGGCTGTACCTTCTCTGGAACACATTTTTCCCAAAAGCGCAACGCACAGTATTCATTACAGGAAGCTTTAGCCAGTATAAGTGAGCATCTGAAGATGTTCCCGTTAGCTTTGTTTACTTTGACTTAAATCCTTCTACAGCGAGGGTATTTACAAGTGCCAGGAGGCACAGACTGGGGCCTTGAGTTCCCGGTGTCACACTGAGTGTCGTAGACCTGGCTTTGAAATTCTCCAAATTGGTGGGTTTGGGTTTGAG